TAAGGGTTGATGAACGGTCACCCTTGGACAGGGATGCTTTGTCGAAAGCCTGAATCACCCCTTCCTTCCGCCACCACGCACCCACCAGTCCTTGTTTGCTTGAAGAAGGTATGCCAGGCACCCCCAGTACCTGGAGAGCAGCGGTTGGACTTGAGCTTCTGTGTTCCAAGCAGGAAGGGACCTTCAACGTCTGAACACAAACGGTCTGTTTTTCTCTGCAGCATGCTGTGGTTCGCCTCAGCATGACGTTTCGTTCTACGGTGCCCCACAAGAAGCCACTAGACTCTTTGAAAGCAGTGGCCGACCCAAATTTGGATACGCACGCTTGCCACCGGACTCACACCCTGTAAGATAGAACTCATCTTTAGGGTTTGCTTCCAATTGCTTCATGTAAGATACCTTTTTGAGATTGGTAGCCATTTGGCATTACTTGAGATGAAAATGACTTGTGAAATTGGTGGGAACTATTCCTACTCGAGATTAAAGTGACTTGTGAAATTGGTGGGAACTTCCGGTCTAGCCTAGGCGTGCGGCGCAAACAAAATCACACTAGAGTCACTAGAGCCCTGCGCGGGATTTCGCTTCATCCCAAGCTTTCGCAGGGCCACCGTGCCGTTTCCATGTCACCTGCGCGACGCCCGGCTTCTCAGCTCCGTTGCACGGGCGCTTGACCACGTACGCCTGCGTCTTGCATAGGATCTCAAAAGCCTTAGTGTATGGGAGCAATATTCGAAAGCAAATAGCCGATGTTAAAAATACTGGCAACTACAACATTCATTTGGATTGGGTTCACACATGCATGGCCTTGCGTTTGAACAACTAAGTATAACAAAGTCATGTTCTTTGGGCTGGGGAGCTGCATCACCAATGCAAACGGTGTAGGAATGTTTTCCTTTGTACTCCGTATCCTTCCAAGGAAGCGCTTCATGAGGCAAAGCTTCAAGATTGTAGCCTTTGAACATGGTCGCTCGCTCCCCCGAAGAACTTGGACGCTCCCCGCTGGATGTCTCCCGCTTGGGTTTGGAGGCCTTCTCCTCCTTCTTGACTTTGGCCATCGCTTTGACCTGGGTGTGGGTGGAAATACAAAGACAGGGGCTATTCAGGTAAACCTTTCTGGGGCCTTTTGGAAAGCTTCTGGAAAGCTAGACCCTTAGACCGACAAAATCACGATCGAAACATGTTGGAGGAGGCAAGAAACAGATTGCCGATTCACCACAGGTGGTGGTGTGATCTCTAGATTGATCTTCACGGAGTCGGCGAGGCGTGGCTTCTTGGTCGCTGGGGTGACGGTGTGTTCTCCATCCAACTCACAAGCCGAAGGCCCAGCCCCATTCATGATCTTGAAAGCCTCCGAGATGCACTTGCTCTTGGAAGCCTCCCGACAGGCAACGTCAAAACATGTCACCTGAGCATGAGTCCACCTTCAACGACCTTCAACCTACAAGTCAGAGAAGGTGACATGTTCCAATCTACACGAGTGATTTGTTCAGACTGCTCCCAACTCGAATGCGGAAGGTGACGTGTTCCAATCTACATGAGTGATTTGTTCAGACTGCTCCCAACTCGACTGCGGAAACTGTCAGCGAACGGTCGTCAGCAGCAGGCCTCGGCCCTCTTGCTGTTGGGGTCTTCAGCTGGTGGAGGAGACTCCTGACGTGTGTTCAATGGTGGCATCGCTCGGATTGGGGGCAGGTTTAGTGGGCATGTTTCAACATCAACTATTCCTAGAAATGGTTGCCTTTGATTGAAGGCGCACTCGAAAGAATTTGGGCGAAACGAATTGGTTGTCTATATATTTTGGGCTTGGGCAAACATTGCATGCATGGACACATGTTCAATAAAATGTCCTCGGCTTTCTGGGTGAACAGCCAGTCATGGAAGTGCCTTCGGCTTGCCAGAGTGTCAGCAACACAGGGCCCATGCTTGGACAAGGCGGCCTCGCAATGCTGCAAGTACTCCGCCATCATGGGGTGCCTGTGTTTTGAATGAACTACAACAGTGACAATTGAGCACATTAACCTGAACCCCCTTATCACATGCACCAAATCCCATGCGTTGCAATTTTCACAACGCAACAAAACTTTATATATATATATAATATATACAGTAAAAAACAAAACCTTTCAATGGCAGTATGCAAGTTGCTCGCCGAAGAGTCCATTGCTGTGCAATGAAGCTCGGATCACATCTAAAATCTCCTTCTTGGGTAGGCCACCTTCCTCAACACCATCGCTCCCAGGCCCACCTTCCTCATCACCATCGCTCCCAGGCCCACCTTCCTCACAATCAGAGCTGACACTCTCTCCATCCACGCCAGGGTCAGGGAGCTTGCAGCGTGGATCATCACCTCCATACGCCGCATAAAATTTTCCCAACCACCCCGAACTCACCTGTGAGTCACGCAGCTCCTCCGGCTCTTCCTCCTCATCCATGGGAGAAGCCCCCAATCGACGAGTCGACGCTGTCAAAGACACAGGTGAGTCTGCGTTCTCTGCAGGTGGATCGCCTAGGCTGCCATTTGATCAGAAGACACGAAAGTTCCATCGTACCAACCTATGATAAAAAAACGATTCAACAAACCCCAAAACTGCATTGAGACGTAGCCAACTTGCTCGGTTCTGCTGTGCTCTCATTATCGCTGCCACCATCCCCAGCTGACTCATCTTCCGCAGCCTCGACGGGCGACACCTCCATCATATCTTCGCCCTCATCACCCTCCTCCTCAGCTCGTCCTGGCCGACGCTGACCCTGGAGCGGCGAAGGGCACAAGTGTGACTTCATCTCAAGGATGTACGGGTCGTGACTCGATGTGCTGTTCCTCCATAGATACCTCAGACTCCCCAGGCACCGTTTTGCTTTGACAGCTTCTTCGGATGCCAATGAGGCCCTCGTCTCCTGTCCAGCCCTGGGCCTGAACAGTTTTTTCCCGAGCATGAAGTCGAGCATCAGGAACGCGTCGCACATATAGTAGCCGGAGGGCACCTTGCAAGGCATGGAGTCTGGAAACCCTACACAGTTCATCAAATTCAAAAGCCCTTCAAACACAACACTTGCCATTGTTCTTTTCCAAGCACTCTTGCCTTGGCTGGACTGTCCTTCACCAGGGGAAGGAGCCAAATGTGGTTTTTTGCCAGCTCTTGGGCGGATGGGCGGGCCATTGGGTTCTTGAGGTTGATCAGCGGTCCACCTTTGTAGTTTGGGTCCGAGATGACACCCACAACCTCCACTGGCAGGTTGTTTTTCATAGACGTGGCCAACCGAACCTTGCGTGAGAAAGGATAGCAAATGGGAAATCACGTTTTGCTGATGACTGCATGTACCAATTACTGTATGTGAGTTTTTGGAGAGAGATATAGAGAGGGAGGGAAAGAGAACGAAAACAAACCACGAAGAATACGAGTCAAGGGGCAATATCATCCCTAGTCCATGAAACACGGCCAGGGCGGGTGGAGCGCCACTGCAAGTAGAACACGCTTTGGCTCTCCAAAATGGGAGCCTCACCCTCACCCTCAACGATTGCCATGGCAGGCTACAGGTGACAGGCTGCACGCAACTCTCACAAAACGGCGGGCTGTAGGAAGGCGACAAAGAATCATCAGGGACCTTCGTGTCCAACCGTGACATGATTTGGCCACAGCTGGAAAAGGTCCATGACATGACATGATTGATTAGGTTTAGAATGGTTTAGAACTACGACAAACCATGGAGGATCACCATCAGCCTGCCGACCAACCCTGCCACCCGCCCAATCGATGCGTCGCAGGAGGGCACTGTCTGAGATGCCACGCCGTGAGGGCTCAGGGATCGTGCAAAACGATACGGACCATCTTTCAACAACGAAAACTCAAAAGAACATATGCACGTGTTTCGTGAGGGCTCAGGGATCATGTAGAACAATATAAATAAACATTTTTCAACCACAACAGCTAAAACACATATGCATGTGTTGAATGAAGACAGTTTCAGATCATTCACATTGCGCACTGCAACCCTTTCTTCGAGCCCGAACCTGGGAACGGAGGGACACGAGAGATGGCCACCGGCCACAAAAAAGGTTGCAGGCCATCGTTTGTAGATTGGAGGCCATCATCACCCTTGTCAAGTGTTGGAGGCTACTGCTTGTAGGTTGGAGGCCACTGCTATTAGCCATTGCTTGTAGATTGGAGGCCATCCCTATTATAGGTCAAAAGGTTGCTAGGATTATGGCATTAAGTCTTGAAAAGGACCCTCTGCGTGGCCCTCTGGTCCCCGGTGCATCACCGGGCAAACTGCTGCGCAGAAGAGCGCCCAAAAAAAAGAGAGCGAAACCTGACAAAGATCGAGCGTTACCGCGGTACCATGGTTGGAGTCCATAGATCCTATGGCAAAACACGTTTTGGAAAAATGTTTTCGACACGCGCACTTCGAGCGATCCCCCACCATCAGAGCACATGTATTGACAAACTATCCTGACAAATGCCTGACATGTGCGTTGACACAATGGCAGCTGAACTGACACGTGCACTGACACAATGGCAGCTGAACTCCTGCATAGAACTGACACGTGCATTGACACAATGGCAACTGAACTCCTGCATCGAGAAAAACTCTCCCTGACATGTGCGCTGACACAATGGCAACTGAACACTCCCACATGGCATTGGGGGAGCTGGTGCAAGTTACAAGTCTTAAGCTTTGAGCACACGCTCACCACCATGCAAAGACAACCAAAAAACAAAAGACAGCAAAAGCTGTCTTATGCAGCAACGTCGTCCAAAAGAGACTGTTGGAGCCTCTAGGTTGTTGCCAACTTACTCTGTTTTGTTTTTCTTGAAGTGGTTTTGGTTGCTGGATCCAAATCAAGATTTTTTGTGTTTCTCGTGGTTCTCATCCACAAGGTTGCAAAGCACAGTCATCCCAGCGGGTGGCCCAGACAAGTTTTTGGAATCGCAGTACCACAATAAGGCCTGCTTGTTTGGGGTCATGACTACTCGTGTGGCAGCCTGCTGAATGCGTAGGCCATGAAGCTGGACTTTGCCTCTTGGTTGGACTCGTCGTTCCCAAAGCTTCCCGATGAGTCAGCCTGTGCTAGTTTGTTGCTGTTTCAAGGCCTTACACAGTGATTTTGTGAGCCATGTTGCCAGTCGTGGCACTTACAGCGTGGACATGACCCCGGGTTCCAAGCTCCTCCGGCCATATCAGTTGGGCTGGCGTGGCGACATGGGGCTCAGCCAGTTGATCGACCCAGAGGAGCTTGTGACACTTTGTGAACTCATTTTGTACGAAGGGTTTCCGGATAGCAGTTAGTGTTTCAATGTGTGTGCGTGTATCGGGAGATCTGGTTTCTTGGCTCTTCGCCCTGTGTGTTTTCATAAACTGAGTTTTCGTACATCTGCGGATCTGCCGGGCGTCGAGCGGCTCGCAGTGGTCAAGCCAGACAAGAGCTTTTTTGAGGCTGCTTACACACAGCTTCCGGAGCTTCATCCAGGCCATCCATTTTGGTTTTGTTCGGGGCCACTATTTCATGCAACAACAAGATTGGCTTGTTTTTTCTAGTACACCGTGGAGCATTCTTTTCCACGGTGATTTTGAGGTGAGGGTATTGGTTGCTTCTCAGTGGGCTATGTGAAGGGTTGGCGGAGGTCTGTGTCAGCGTTGATTGCAGCAGAGGGTATTCGCAAGTGCGCCTTATCTCTGGATGAGTTTCCAGAGTTCAAGGCCGGTTCGGAATTGCTTTCAAATCTCAGATGCCAAATTTGCACTTGGATTGGGTCATGAAAACGGCCCCGCATGCGGGGGCCGTTTTCATGACCCAATCCAAGTGGGAATCTCAGATATTCATTGACTGACAGTCCCATCCATTGTGGCCAGGTTCATTTCCAACACTTTTTATTTGTCTCCCTTCGTTTGTTTTCCTTGAGGAATCCATGCGTGCAGTGCATGGTTTGGTGGCAGTCTACAAAGATGTGATGGAGCAGATTCACACAAACCGTGGCATCACCATGGGATCATCAGCGACAAGGAAGGCGCCAATGCTTTTGTTTTCTGCCGCCAGCTGGATGTGATGAAGAGAGCGGGATACAAAACGGATGGAACTGCAGAGCTTTAGTTAAATTACATCAAAAAATGCTTTTCCTGATGGATCCTGATGGATTGGTTTCGTTATGTGGCGTTTAAATCTTTTAGCTGGATTTCGCAGTCAGAGAACTGCTTGACTGCCTCAAGCTGCATCCGCTTCATGGTTCCGCTTCCTAGGATTGGGACAATGCCGGTTCCATTGCGAGGGCCTATCGTATCGGGCGGAATGAAGCATCGGCGACCAGCAATTTGCAGTCAAGAATGCCCTGTTGTGTGTCAGACGCCTTGAAATCCGCTGTACGGATTCGGGGCATGAAAGGCTTTATCCTGCACGAGGTTGTTGGGCGCGACAATGTTTTTGCATCTTTTTGCTGTAAAAGCACATGGATCATTCAGTGACTATACACACAGACGCCTGCCTCCAAGCTGGCCTTCAGGTTTTGCTTCTGATTGACCGCTTGCAAGCAGATTGGGATAGGTGCCCAATCAAAAAAGCTTGGAACTTCAAGGACACCAACAATTTGCACGCTGCCTGTGGCGCTTACCGTCATTTCGTTGGCCAGCTGAAGAGCACGATTTCAGATGCTGCTTTCAAGGCCCACATGCCAGTGATCCGCGACCAGTTCATGATGTCCTACCTCGACACTGAGCTCCTGAACGCGCTCTCAACTTCAACGCCCCCTGGGGATGTCAAGTCAATATCCGCGATGAGGTGGGCCAGCAAGCAGCGATTCGTTTTTATATTGACGGCGCTGGTACTTGCCCAAAGCCTCATTGAAAGGCGTTTGTAGAAAACACGTGTCACATGCCCTTCACGTTTTGTAGTCCTGTGGATGTTTCATGCTTTCAAAATGGCGGCGGCAGGCGAATTGTGGAAGAGGCTGAGAACGCACAGACTATTGAACAGGAGAAGCGAGCAGCCGAACTTAGCGAGCGGGTGAATGCGGCTACACTTGAGCAATTGGAGGCTCGGATCTCCGCCGACTTTGCACTGCTCAAGAAGATTGCCCCATCTGCAGAGAAGGATGCCAAAGAGGCCCACCTGGACATGAGGTACTTGCGGGAGAGACAGTTGATGCTTATTGTAATTCCTACCAATTTTGGTTTCTACGGTTTTTCCTCATGTTATATAGGTATATTTCAGTATGGGTTCAAATCAAGACAAAACTTGGCTTCGGCGCATTATTTTTTGCTTTTGAATTGCAAATTGAAAACTTCACCATCCGGACGTCAGGAAAGGGCAGCAGCACGTGCGGACATGGATGAGCGAGAATTTCAAAGTTCTTGTCCAGCCAGAGGGTCAGATGGGCAAGGTGCTCACAGAGTTCGCGAAGTTCAAGGGTGAATTGAATCAGCCTGGGCAGAAGCCTTGGTGCCTTGCTCCTGATAGATCAGATCACGTTTCCAGCCTGTTTCCGAGTTTGGTTTCCGAGTTTAACAAAATAACATGTTTGTTTCTATTTTTGACTGGGCTTGGGCGTGGATCTTGAGCTGAGTTACATTCTGGTGCTTTTGGACGCAACTGTGTATCCGGCAAACGCTGCATATTTGGAAGCGGCTTCGCAAGCGCTATCCACGGTGTTGCATTTTGGAGGGCATTGTATTGGACACATTCAAGCGCCTGTGCCACATTCCAATACCACCCAGACAGCGCTGGTGAAGCATCGGGGGCTTTTGGAAGACAGTTTGATGGGCAAGTCCTTGGATATCACAGCCCGAGTTTGCCTCAACTTTCAACGCCCACCTGATGCTCACCAAGGCGACAAGCGGCGTGTGGTCCAAGATGTCATTGCGGCGTCTGCAGAATCAGTGCCGTCATCGTGGAATGTACCGTCGGTCATTGGCCCATTACCCATGATCAAGACACAGGACATGTTGGGATTCGAGGACGCCCGGCCTGGGCCCACGGCAAGAGCAGAGCAGTGGCTCGGATGGTCCATTCACAGGTTTGTTTCCTAAAGCGCTACATTTTGCCTTTCGTTGATTTTGTGCTTTCGGCCATGGGGTTTAATCCGCCAGTCTGTCACCTAGCCTGAGGAAGGGAATCCCTTGCCACAGCAAGATCTTGGACGCTTACGTTGGTGCAGTGGACTTTGCCAATGGTGAGACGTTCATTGTGTTGGACTTGATTCCAAACAGGCGCAGCAACACCAAATGCAAATTTTGACAGTTCAATTCGCCAGAATTAGTTCAATTTTGCTTCATTTGCATCAGGCAAGCTGAATTTGCTCGAGCCACCCTGAAGCACATGCTGGCCGCAAGCCCCAGTACCCAAAGCATGAAGTACTTTGGTGTGTTTAGAGCAGACCAAAAAGACATTTTGAACCAGCTTGAAGAGCAGATCTATTCAAGCTGGGACGCTTCGTCCGATGCTCCGCCAAAACAAAGGGAACGCAGTGCTCAGGAAAAGCCCGAGCTGGGCATACTGCGTTGGGATCAAGGGGTCCCTAAGTTCACTGAGGACATTTTGCAAAAGTTCCCTCAAGGGTGTGCTCAGAATGCAGCTGTGCTGAAATTGGAAAAGGAGTTGGAGAGCTTCTGGCCACGGCCAGCAAATCATGGTTCTGGCTCGGGCAAGGGAGATTCTGCTCCGGCCTCCAGTCCAAGGGTGACTGGTGAACCCAGACTTGACAGGTGCAAGGTTCATTGACATCAATCGTGCGGTGGCCCTTCCCTATGTGAGGGTGGATGGGTTCAATGTGCCCAGGCCTGCCTCGTTTCGTTCTGGTTGTTTTCGTGTTGGTGAATTCGACAGCTTTGGCAAGCGTTTGTGTGAGAGCGTGAATGTGTTGGTTTATGCTCAAAAGATTGTACAGTGTGTGACAGGCTTGCGTTTGCTGCGGGCAAAAATGGAAAGCCCAGCATTTTGATCAGCACTTCATTCGACTTGTACGTGGGGAACCTCACCAACGAGGAGATCTCTCTTTCGCCGGGAGAGCTTTGTGGCTTTAACACGGGCTCTTTTGATGTCAAAATCATTCGAGGTGAGCCACACTTACTAAATTTATGAAAGCAACCGAGTGTGTGAACCCTAGGCTAGCTGCAGCTAGCTGTTACTGTGCAGGCAGCGGGGAAGATGAACAAGGAACATTGCCGTGGAGAGTGCTTGATGATTTGACCTATGTTGCCTACAACAAAGAACCTATGCTCCTGTGCCAGCTGTTGCGCAAATTGGCCCGCGAGAATGGTTTCTCTGAGGTGCAAGTGCAAGATCATCTCTTGACTCCCAAAGTTTGGGCCTTTGTTGACAGGAGGGGGGAGGGAGAAAGAGAAAGATTTTAAAAAAAACAGAAACAGATACAAACACGTTAACAGAAACAGACATCGAAACAGAACGTCAGGAAAGACACAGAGAAAGAGGAAGTGAAATTTGAAGTAAGATTGAAGAGAGAATGAGAGACAGAAAGAAAGGGAAAGAAAGAAAGAAATAAGGAGAAACAAAAGAGAAGAGGAGAGGAGGGGAAAGGAAAAAGAGAGGGGGTAATGAAAAGAGAGGCGCGAGCCCACGCCCTGGGAGTTTCATTGGCGTGGGAGCTCAGGTCCGTGCAACTACCTCTGATGCGGATTCAGAGCCGCTCCAGATCCCATTCCGCTACGATGTTGTGAATGTTGAGAGCGGGAAATGCAATTGCTAAACAGTTTGGCTGCAGGCTTCAACCCAGAGAACCACAAGGCGAACACCATCGGGGCGTGCTACATTGGGCAATTGAACAAAGTTGCTCATCAACGCCAGAACGATCGAGCAGCGCTGGTGTGGGAAGTTGCTTAGTATCAGGTCTAAACGCTGTTTTTGTGTTTGATACAAGTGTGTTCCTGTATGTGTGTGTGTTCATGTGTGAATGTTTTCGTGTTTGAAATTGCAATCATGTTGCTCAAGGTTGGGTTGCAAGCAGGATCCACCACCCCAAAGATATGTCCTCTGAAGCCAAAGATTTTCCTTCTGTGCAACATGAAGTTGCCCAAGCAAACGTGGGCAAAGCTTACTACCTGAGTTTGGAAAACTTACAGTGGTTGGCCATCATCACCTGGCTCTTGTTGTACTGTTAACGCATGACTTTGTTTCTTCAAATTTCCAACATATGGAGCGGTGGCCGACAGCGTCAATTTTGCAAAGGATTTTGGCCAATTGGGCCGCGTTAGATCAGGATTGTTGTTGGCTGGCAGTTCGATGAATGATTTGTGCCCAAAAGAAAACATTAGCCACAAACTTGCTCTAAAGTCTTCAGAATGCGCCGGCTGTAGTTGTGTTTTCCGTGTTGCGCTTGTGTTGCCATGTCTTGATATTGCTGCAGGGTTTCCCGACAGGATTGGAGAGCTTGCTGTGAATTATATTGTAGCGAGGAATTGCCATGGGTATGTTACCCCTCCCACCTGTGGATCAGTTGAGCGGGAGTGATCCAGAAGAACCTCCTCCCGCGGAGGCTAGAATCTGTTGTTGTTCTCAGTTTTGAACAGTAGCTAGCTATTTAGATTCATGTTTGTTTCAGTCTGGGAGGTCAGAAAGCGACCATCGGCATTACGTCCTACTCCAAAAACGAAAGCAACGGCAGCGAACCCGAAAGGCCTTGCTCTACCAAAGAAGAAAGCAGGTGAGGCTGTGGATGTTGCCCCACCTGCCAGCGAACCTGCCAAGCCTTCCTCGCCTGCTAAGCCAACGGCCAAGCCAAAGCCGAAACAGTTGAAGCGCCCTGCTTCTGCCATGGAGTCGAAACCTGAAGGCTTGGAAGCTTCCATGTTATCGCTTGTCTTGGCCGCTGTATTTTGGGCCAGGCGCGGGCAAGGTTGGGCCCATCTTCCCGTACAAGAAGCTCAAGTCTTGGGCATGCGAAGTTGATGGCGTCCAAGTTTTCAGTGTTCCTTGTCGCGAATGAAAACAGTGAACAAGCGAACCAACACAGATCTAAACATCTCAGTGTGCTTTGTGTGTGTTTTCCTACCGAGTTGTGTTTTTGTTAGGTTGGAGGGCAAGGCTATGATAACGATCTGAAAGAGATCGCCGCGCTGTCCTCAATCCGATTTCTTAGCGCCCTTCCCTACGTGTTTAATTCAACAGTTTGAAGTTGGGGCCCAGGCCATCGGACGTGAGCATTTGCTGAAAGGCGATTCCGTTGAATATGTCAAGAAGGTTGTTGCGGTGGCCTCATCTGTCTTGGTCTTTTGTGTTCGGTCCCTCTCTGCCGGCGTTCAAGGCAGAACTCAAGGCCAAGTTGACCAGGAATGGGCGTGACAATGAGCCAGGCTCGGAGGTTGAAGTGGTTTCATTTGATTTACCGAAGCACGCGCTAGGCGGCCACACACCTGAGGGCAGGGATGCGAATGAGAAGTCTCAGGCCGAGCCTGAGGCCGGTACTGTCGAATTGGTAGACTCAGAGATGAACCCAGAGGGCACTCAGGAAGAGTCAGAAGAAGGCGCTGCCGAAGTTGATCCGATCCTGGAAGGTGACGAGAAATTCAATGTTGACTAGAGTTGCCAGCACTGTGTGTGAAGCTCACCAGGCTCTGCTCGGAAAATGCCATGCGTGCTTGAATCCGCGAGCGCAGGGTGAGCGGGGTCAGGCCCACATGCATGTAGCGTGGATGGGTGTGCGTACATGCATATGAATACATATGTATGTGTGTGTGTCGATGTTTCTTGGTGTCCGAAAGATCGACGACAAACCTCATACACACTGTTAATAGATATGCGCCAAACAAGAAAGATGTTCTGGATGTGTGTTCATCCTGGTTTGCGGGTTATTTTGTTTTAGCAATTTTTGTTGGACGCCTTCCTATCTCCAAAACGAAACGGGTGTGCAACTATCAGGGCAATTGGGTTTGTAACAAACGTTGAAAAACTAAGCCCGAGAGAACCAATTTGTTTCAACACATTTTGCACCAAAAACTCTTCTAATAGATAAGTGCTATTAATTAAACGGGTTGTAAACACAGTAGACCCAAAATAATGAGCACTGTGCAGCAAGTTGCCAGCCTTGAGCCTGCAAGATGTCAAAATTCCAGCCTGGCTTTGAGCCTGCTAGATGTCAAGCTCTAGCCCTTAATAAGCAGCAGGTTGCCAGCCTGAGCTTCATAGGTGATGATAGCCCTTTTTGGGCTATAGGTTATCAGCCGTTGGACCCTGATAATTTGGTGCAAGCTTGAAAGTGACACTGATTCCTGATCAAGACTTTGTAAATTCTGCACCGCAAGCTGGGTGCTGCCATCAAAATCAATGAGCAGTCAAAGTCAACTTCCTGAACCCCAGTTCAAGTCCTGAACCCCAGATGCCGGGAAAATTCTTTATGGACGCCTGGGCTGGTAGCTGCTATTCAAGAGAGTCTGAAGAGATATCTGCAGCGGCTGGATGCTCAAGAAGGTGGTCCTCAAGATCGAGAAGCAGCAGTGTGTCGCTTGGACATGGAAGGATGGAAAACCCATGTGAGGAACCAACATCAGCCCTTTCGCAGAGACTGCCGTCGATGCATGGGGATGATGGGTTCGGACGTTCCACATCGAAGAACTATGGGGGACAGGGCAGCCCATTGCTTATCGTATGACATCGTGGGGCCGATGCCGGTTGGAGATGACTTGGGACTTGGCTCCAAGGCCAAGTACATGATGGTGGCGACTGTGGCCATTCCCAGACTGCCAAGGGAGCATGAAGAGCTCAAAGAGATGGAGGACTTAGATGGGGAGGAGGGTGAACTCCTTCCCATTGAAGGAGGAGAAGATGCACTGGATGATGGGGATCCGGAGCACGGTGAGGTGTCGGATGAGCAGGTTGAGAACATCAATGCTGCCTGGAAGACACACATCGAGGACTTGAGCGCGCCGGTTGGAGTTCAGAATGTCACAATGGTGGAACCCCTTGAGAGCCGGTCGCAGATTGATGTCACCAAGGTTGCAACCCGCATCTACTGCCGCTTCAAGGCCATGGGCATGCAGATGCTCAGAGTTCATACAGACAGAGAGTGTGCTTTCTTGTCCAAGAGCTTCCAGGCCTTCTGCCGACGATTTGGAATGCACCAAACTATGACAGGAGGGGATGAAGGACCCTCGAAGGCCGAATTGAGGCGGAGGTGCATCAGGTGAAGAGACGACTCAGGTTGCTCATCGATTAAAGGGGGCTGGAAGAATCGTGGTGGCCGGGCATTGCACGCTATGTTGGGGAGGAGAGGCTGAGGCGCCAATGTGCTCATCTCGGTGTGCCTAGTGCTCCGTTGTTGCCGATTGGGCGGAGAGTCACAGTGAAGACCAAACGCTGGCACAGAGCAGGGTTTGGACCTTTGACACCGCCCTTTCGCACTATGACATTGATGGGCCCTTCACCATTTATGTCTCAGGGCTACGTGCTATTTGACAGTGGTCATGTACAACATGCTCGCGTTGCGGTGCAGACTGATCCCACGGCTGAACGGGCGGTGCTGGAATTGCAAGCAGTTCAAGATCCAGAACGACCTCATCAACGGGTGGTGGGCAAGCAGCCAATGGAACCGGTGCTTCCACAACTTCCACCACCGCGGCTGTCTGATGATCCTGGATTGTGCACTATGCAGCGCAACTCAGCTGGAGGGCCAGTCCTTTCCCAAGGTCGGACTGGGGGGGGAGTCTTTGCACCTTTCTATGCCACCGGAGGTACACGTGAAGGTCAATGGTGGAGGGAAGGCGTTGGTGTGCAAGGAATGTGGACTGCAAATGGCGCAGGCTTCGTTCAAACGGCTTGATCTCCCCCGAAACTCCAATGGATGAAGACGGTGAGCCACCAATGGATGGAACCATGGAGTATGACATGCAGAAGGCCCTGAAGCTGACTCAAAGGTTGGAAGAAGAGCACTGGGGCTGGAAACAACTCTGGTGTGACACGTTGAAGGAGGTAGCGGTAGGTGATATGGAGGGTCAACTGCAAGGAGCTATGATGGACTATTTGGAAAAGAATGTCCGGGCCTTGGAGGATGACCTCACGGAGATTCGAGACTGTGCTGTGAATTACCAGTTGGCTTCGATGACTGCTGGACAGCACTTGGAGGTGAAGGAGGGGTCGGATGATCGTCTGGGGGTACATGCTGTCCACTATGCTGTCCTTCAGACATACACTGTCCCACTCGCCCAAGTTCGACGAGAACTGTCGCTCGAGTATGAGGTGAACTCTCTTGAGAAGACCACCCGGGCAGTGCGCCCTATCCAGGTTCAAGACCTGAAGGAGGAGCCGGGCTACAATGAGATGCTGGTGGTTCCCTCCAAAGTGGTTCCCACGGTGAAGGCACCGGATGGAAAGAAAAGATCTCGCATAGTCCTATGCGGGAACCTTGTTGAAGACACATCAACACAGCTCCAAGCTCATTCCCGTGACCAGGATGCTGGTGGCGGTGAGAGTGGAGCGAAGCAGGCTGGAAAATCCTTTGAGCTGTATGCAAGTGGCATCGATGGAAGCTCACTGCGGTGTGCACTCCGGAAGGCGGCTCAGGAGCAGTGGTCGATAGGCATCACTGATGTATCCTCGGCTTTTCTCCTGGCACCCAGAAAATCCTCACGTCTCATGGGCACCAAGCCCCCATCAATCCTGACTGAAGCAGGAATCCTCTCAAAGGATACTCGGTGGATTGTGGAAGCTGCTGTCTACGGCTTGGACAGTTCTCCGGCTGACTGGCAGTCCTACCGTGACGAGGTGCTCCGAGGAATGAGGTGGTGGGAGAGCGGCAGGCATTATTGGATCCATGCAACTCCAGAGCCTAATGTCTGGAGGCTGATGTCTGCTGATGGTGAGGAGACCGACTATGTGAACGTGATGGAGGAGGGCAAGGCGGTGGGATTCGCCTTATCCTATGTGGATGATTTCATCGGGATGGGTGACCGACCAGTGGCACAGGCATTTTTGTCCAAGCTGGCAGCTACTTGGAAGTGTGCCCCTCCCACCTGGGTGGTGGAATCGGAATGGCAAAAATTTTGTGGAGTGGAGATGAAGTGGGACAGAAACAGTTTGCTGATTGGCCAGCCGGACTATGCTCGGGAGATAGTCGCCCGCCATTCGGATGTCCCATTGAGAAGCTCTCCACTTCCGAAGGTGATTGATTTGGAATTGGAGGAGACCATCAACCCGAGGAGGTGAAACGATGCCAAACGGTCATCGGTTGAACGTCTTGCAGGAGAACATCTTGGACCGTGAAGGTTCGTATATCCTGAGAGGAGACAATCTCTCAGGCCTGCAACTGCTTCAGGCGCCATCGGGTCCCTGGCACGGCATCTTCGATTGAGAAGCCATGTCCTTCGTGAGCGCCTCAAGCATCACCTCTGGAGCGTGGAACATGTGCCCGGCACGGAGTTGTGCGCCGACCTTTTGACCAAGTCTATCACACAATCTCAATCATGGGAAGCCTTTCGCCGTTCGGTCGGCCTTCGTGCTGCTGAGACTTCTCTTCCCGATGGTGTGGGCACGTCGAGGGCGAAGAAGGTGGCTTGCGCTGCAATGGCATCCTTGGGCCTGCTGGCAGCTGTGCCTGGTTTGGGGGGAGCTGTGAAACTGGCATCGCTCCTGGGCTTGGCAGCTGCGGCAACGGTAGCTTGTCCGCGTGCTCAAGAAGAGCCGGGTGAGGGCATTTCACCCATTGCATCGCGGCACCCCCTTTCAGATCTCGAGAATGTCAACTACCAGAGTGACAGTGACGTTTCATCGAAGCAGCAGTCGAGAGCTCTGGCAGCGAAGGGTGGCGATGGATGATTGGACCACCTCAAGAAATTGTGACATTGATGGCATCTACGAATGGGTGGGCTACACCTTTTTCTATGTCCGCTTCGTGGGTGCCATGGAAGGAGTTCAGGTTGATCCTGATAGTGGATTGGCTCCTGGACCGCAGCCTCCTCGAGGAACGATTGTTCAAGGTGATCGAGGTTATGGCAATACACCAGCTGCACAGTCCAGGGCATTAGAGAGGGGAAGAAGTGTGGAGCTCCAATCGAAGGAGCCATCATCGGGGATTCCTCCGATGACCTATGATGGCATGGCAATCAATGCTTGTGGCAGCGCGTCCTCCGATGGTGTCCCTGGCTCAGGCTATGCAGAGCGGCTTCGAGGCCGACAAGATCGAGGAGAAGTTCAGTTGGATGATGCTGAAACGGCTTGGCTGCATTTCCTTCACTCCGAGGGATTGATCCGTCTGGAGGCGGATGGATGGCCTGAGTGGATGGGGATCTCAACCCCTGAGGACCAGCGACCTGAAACCCCGGTCATGAAGCTGGAAGAGGATTCGCAGTCGGATGGAAGTTTTGAGAAGCTGGGCTGAGATGTAGACGAAAAAACCTACTGATCGCCCTTTGGAATGATGGTGTGAATCCCCATCATTGGGGGAGTGCGGTCGATGAAGTCCCACTCCATGTTTCGAGAAACATCACGCGACGAACATTCCGCGTTGATCGTGCTTTGGCTCAAGAAAAGCAGCGCGTTTGAGGTGCTGTGTTTTTTCCAATTCGCTGCTCACAGACTCAATTGACTCCACAAAATGAGCACAACTCACTACTCTTGAATGAATGTACTTGAGCACCCGTTAAGAGCATGCGGGAGTGCAATGCCTTTCTTTCTTTGTCGCACTTGGTTACCTTGGTCGGCCTTCAGTGGCTTACCAGCAAGCCCCAGTTGTGGGTCTAATCGGACACGGGATGAACCAACGGGCGCTCGAGGCGAAGCAGTTTGCAACGTGCCGGTGAGCGTTTGCAGAAAGCCGAAAAGGCCAAGCGTTGATTGCCGGGGCTGGATGACAGGATCACTGAGCAAAACAGGCCACAGCCTCGAGGGGCGTGCCCTTAGAGTTAATTAAGGAGATGGAAACACAGAAAAGGAGCCAAGTATGGAGTGGTAATGAGTGATATATATAATCTGACATTATCTTACACTATATATTATATGTATATATATATATTGTTCAATTTACATGCTGGCTGCAGTTGTTGAACGCTGCGTTTGTTTACATGCTGGCTGCAGGCCATGGACCCACCAAATCCACCTGCAGAAGCTGAAGTTCGAACATGGGTTGGCTATGGAACCTTGGGCGCCAGTTCGTAGTTGGAGTTGCATGGAGCAGCAGCACTTGAGCTTTCGGATTCAAGTCACAGCAGCCATATGTTCGTACCTTAGGACAGCTTTTGCTGGCAACTTAACTCGTCATGCGACCTTTTGCAGGATGCCTTGAGAGCACATCGTTGGAACTGTATTGGTCCATGCTGGCTAGCCATCCTTCAAGTCTGAACATTATATAGTTTTGGTGATATATATATATACATATCTAATGTATATAGATACAGTAGTCAGATAGTCTAGTTCCATCCTGCCTGCTAACTAAGGCAAGGTGATTATGAAGGGGCACTGGAGAAGCTGTCACAGGCGAGGTCGGGGACCCGACTTTCTTCGGTGCTTTCCAGGCATCGCGTGTCTTTCAATCGCCGAGGCTGCGCGCGTGTCTTCTCAAGCGTCCACACACTTGTTCCAGGCGTGGCAGGAAGTGCCAAGCTACTGTCACAGATGCTGTCCAATAGAAACAGCTTTATGTCCATGTATTGTAACTCAATGTGATTCATACAGTGCAGGCTATGCCCCTGGCATGCCGATTGGGGCGATGCAAGTATCAACGGTTGTTGTAATATAAGTGACCCTGCAGAGAGTGCAACTCACTCTCATGTCCGCACACCTCATTTGATGCCGCCTTGGAGACGAAGCATGAGAACGGGACTGAGCATCTGTGAACTGTGAACCTGCAGGCTCTAACTTTGCACCTTTTGGGGCGTGATCCCTCCGGTGCTCTTCGGACTGCTCGTCTTTTTGAGCCGCGGCTGGTTGAGGTGGGCCACAGGAGCCACAGGGTTCTTGCGTTAGACCTGCTTGGGTTTGGGGATGTCCAGCTGGTGAGGGTCAACTCTGACTATACTGACTACATTGGGGTGCAATCCAAATCCAAAATATCCGAACTCCCGACAGAAACTGAACGTTCCTGGGCAACAAAAGAAATAGGCGTTGGGGGAAGCCTTGATTTGGAGATGGCAGACTTCAAAAGAGCGAGTAGTGCAAAAGAGTTGAGGCCTTGTCCTGATTGCCCACCAGGTGGCTCATCGCTCCCTGCCTGCCCTGCCAAGCAGGCATATCCGGTGCTGTCAGGGAGCTTGTAGCTTCATCACAGGAGAGACAGGGATCATTAGGATTGGTTTGTTCGCACCTTTCTCGCGACTCCACTTTAAAGTGGTGCTTGAGCGTGCCATTCTCCGATGGGTCCTAACAGAGACAGAGTCACAGGCTGCAGCAGGAGGTTGAGACTCTTCTGGCCGGTTCCGGGAGCGTGGCCCAGAGCGGATATCCGAGGACGGGTGTGTACTGGAAGTGGTCGGGATGGAGTTGGCTCAAATAGAAATGAATGTGCCAAATCTCTTCATGTGTGAACGCATACAGTATATAGACGTGTGTTTATATTGTTTAAAATCATGTTTTACCCGAAGATATTCTTGATTCTTGATCATTCAGCGACGTTGCAAGGATTTGATGGAGTTCCAATGTAATTATTCACCATCCTGGACTCCTGGACCTTCCAAATCCGAGAATTTGCTACTGTATAAGGGTGTGGATTCCAGCATTTACTCCAGGACCTTTTTCGATTTGTGGACGTTTGCGTGGTTGTGGGGCTTTTTGCAAAGTTTTCCAGGGAAATACGCAAAGTTTGTAGTGTTGGTTGATGATGGTTTGATTAGTTTGCCAAGCACCCACCCTAAAGCCGAGGAATTCTAGCGATCTTAGGAGATTTGTGGCTTTCTGGAGTTTGCGGTAGAAAACAAACTTTCCGAGAGATAAACAGTCAAGTCTGCGAGAATTGTCCAGCAGAAGGGCTGTGTCTGTCTGTCTGTCTCTCTCTCTCTCTCTCCGAGATGATATTCACTGCGCTTGACGCGGGTGCACATTCACAGGTTGCACATGTTTCAAGTGCAAAACCACCCAACGTCAGGCATGACATGCCGAGCATGCCGCTTGGCGCGTTGGAGCTGACATGGTTTCCTTGACATTTTGACCAGGCAGCCGGCTGAAAGTGGCAAGGCTGCAGAAGACGACTTCAAGGTCGGGCAGAAGATTGAGGCCAGGTAGCAGCAGAGCAAGATGTCGTTTGCTTGGTTGTTCTTGGATTGTTGGTCAACATGGCAGGTCTACAGCAAAAGTGGGGGGTCGCTGGTTTCCAGCGGAGATCATCCAGGCCAACGAGACTGTCGGATGTTTTGGGAGCAAAGCAATGCAAAGCAAGTTGATTTCCAACTCCAGGCTGAAGCGGAGACTGTGAAGGTCCGATACTACATGGCACGGGTCACAGCAGGTTGAAGTTAAACCCATGGAGCCGGGCTTGATACGGAGCTGCTGAACCCACATTTGGCCACGTGTTTTTGAACATGCGTGAGACAGTGGTGGGGCCGGGGCCACCGAGCTCATGAATTTATGTACAACTCAGGTTGACGAGAAGCAGTCAAGCGCTTAGAATGATTGATCCTAGGCCTGGATTGAGTCACCAGTTGCCACCAGACAATAGAAATTCATCAATGCAGCCAATGCTGCGGCTTGTGCTGGAATGTTGGCCAGTGTGCTGCTGTATATGTTTAATTATGTATACACATGTCACATATTTATTGTATGTAGTATATGTATATATTTGTATGTATGTCTATTTATGTGCATATATATATAGTATATATTTGTCTCTCTCTACCTCTCTACAAGTATATATAATATATATATATGTACACATATTATGTATATATCATCATTGCAGGGCTGACAGCTATGTGCCGCGGCCACCTCCGTTCAAATGCATGCTCCCCCAGCGTAACAGGTTGTCAGGAACTTCCGTTGCCTACGAGAAGCTTCTCTTGCGCAACTCCGAGAATCTCAGGCCAGGGTGATGGCGAAGAACCAGAATCAATCAAGAAAAGATTGTCCAAAGATGTTCAAGATTTCACAGCTATGCTTTCTTTGGTCCCATGGGCCAAGAGTTACAGGCAGGTTGCTTTTTACTTTCCACAGGCGAACGGCCGAGACAAAGATCGAGGAGGCCAGATCCGAGACATTGTTGCCTTTTTGGACTTTTCAGACCTGTTTGTCCACACCGCTGGGTGATTCACTTGACTTTGAATCATAGAGATGAACGTGGCTTGACAATTGTTCTAGGAGGACCTTTCCAACTAAAGCTTGATCGTGCTTGAGTCTTCCACCAGCCTTGACCAGTGTGCAATTCACTTGGGAACCCTGGCATTGTTTGTCCTATTTGGAGCCTGGACTGTGGTAGCACAAAATAAGGAGAGTGGGACATGTGGGGTGTGTAAGAGCTTCACTGGGGTGAGAGAGATGCCTGACATACCGTATCAAGGACCTTTTAGGACTTGGGATGTGCCTTGATGCATTGCTTCATGACAGGTTGCAGAGAAGGCTGGAACGGTCCAACACAACGTTTACATTGTATACAGGTCTTGCATTGCAGCAAAGAAAGCAATTGAAGGTGATTGAGGCATATAACTTAAACTTGTGTGGCTCATTTGATTCAAATTCGGTTGGACAGGCAACATGAGGCATGATGCGCAGTTGCATTCGTCCGCATTGCAGTTCCATGCCATTTTTGGATTGATGGAGGCAATTGCTTTAATTGATTTTTGTTGGTTCTACTTGTTGCTTCCCTGTCTTCTGTGGCTTTTGGCTGTTTTCGCTTTTGGCTTTGGCGTCTTGAAGTTTTGTCATTTGGCTTTCAGCTTCTTGGCTTTTGGTCTCTTGGTCCTTTGGTCCCTCGGTCCTCTCTCTGGTCCCTTGGTCCTCTGTCCTCTGTGTACTTGGTCCCCTGGTCTCGCTAATCCTGGGGCCGCTCTCCCTTAAGCACCTAGTGGACCCATGGAACAAAAACACAGTTTCTTGCTTTCACAGCCTGGCGAGCACAAGAAGTCGATGCTTTTTGTGCTTGTGCTGTTTGTGGCTCTGGGCTTTTGGTGGTTTGTGTGGCTTGTGTGGCTTTCGGCTGGCGTTCGGTTGCAGGCTGGCTTGTTGTGTGATGGCTTGCCTTTGGTTCTTGTGGATGTATAATTCGTCTTTTGCATTTGCTAGGGTGTTTGGTGGCTTAGCACTTGGTTTGCTCTTGGCCCCCTCCAGCTTTTCCAAGCCAAGCCAAGTTTCGACATTCGAGTTGCGCACAGAACAATAAAGTTCAGCGCCTAGCAATAAATTCACTAATAATAGTAATAATATATATATACTGTATAATTAGGTGCAGTCATCCCTGATTAATCGCACATCACATCATTGCCTCTTTTGGGTTGACACTTGGCAAGCCTAAAGTGGAGGGCAGCTGGCTATATGTAGAGTGAGAAGTCACAAGCAATCAGGTCAATCACACAGCACCCACGGCCTACGGAGTGATCACAAAGCTTGCAGAAAATTAACCTTCGAAAGGGCATCGGAAAAGACACAACTGTCCAAAGTTAGACTTCGCCATAATACATGTCATGGAGCTTGCTTTCCTGAGCAAAAGGAGAGCCAGGAATCATTGATATAGACCTGTAGGCTCTCAAACAACAAGGTCAAAATCAAACAAGAACAAGATTGGGCAACAAGTACTTACAAGGTTATGCCAAGCCCGTGACCACTCGCCACTATTGAAGAGCTACCCTCCTCAGAGGCACAGGGGACTACACTGCTGGAAACTGGGAACATTCCCAAAACCCCAGCACCCCAAAGCCGAAAAACAAAAGAGTGAAGAGTGAAGTACTAAAGGTCGGCACTCACATCTTTACACACATGAGCAATTTGCATTTTCCTTGAAAAGCGATACCAATCCCAAAAACGATACCTAGCCTTGTGACGGTACACATCTTGGAATCTATCTTTGCCTATTGACACTGTTGACACTCGAGACAGTGTATGTCCAAGGTTTTGTTTGTGTATGGTTCGCCATGCTAGTTGGACATTCCATTTTGTTTTTGCTAATGTTCCCTTTTTTTCTTCGATGGGAAGCAATTATGGGTTTAGACCGATACCTAAAACGATACCAAACGATACCCACTTCATAGGTCTGTTCCCCTCAGAAACCACCTGGCCACTTTCATGCCACTACTACTGCCACTACTTCTACTTCTGCTACTACTTCTAGCACTACCACCACCACCACCGCTTCTACTACTACCACTACTACCACTACTACCACCACCACCACTACTACTACTACTGCTGCTGCTGCTGCTACTGCTACTGCTTCACTACTACTACTGCTGCTGCTGCTACTACTGCTACCACCACTACTACTACTGCTACTGCTACTCGTACTACTAGTACTACTAGTACTACTACTACTACTGCTACTACTACTACTACTAGTACTACTACTAGTACTACTACTACTACTACTACTACGACGGCCACGGCCACGGCCACGGCCACTGCCACTGCCACTGCTACTACTACCACTACCACTACTTCTACTACTTCTTCTACTACTACTTCACGACGATTGCTACCACTACTACTACTACTTTCACCACTACTATCGCTACTTTTACTACTACTACTACTACTACTTCTACTACTGCTACTACTACTACCACTACCACTACCACTACCACTACCACCACTACTACTACTACTACTACTACGACTGCTACTACTACTACTACTTCTACTTCCACTACTACTACTACTACTATTACTTTTTTCTTCTACCACCACCACCACCACTACTACTACCACGGCCACGGCCACGGCCACTGCCACTACTAGAGCCCGTTTTTGATACTGTACATTTTCTCGTGCATTTGTACTGCAAGGGGGAGGCCTTGCTCCCACTCGAACCCTAGAAAAATACTAGGTTTCTTCAAGGCGGCGAGCACCACAACAAATTCAATTAGTTATGTTTCCCTAAAAATCTAGGAACCAAATGAATAGTGCGCCCTAACTAGTAGTAGCTTAGGTAAGGTACTAGCTACCTCTCCCTTACTTAATTGAATTAGCACTAAGCACCTACTTAATTGGGGGGGAGCCGGCTAAACAAAGGGCAATCCTTTCACAAGTGTCATGAGTTCTTGTGCTCGACAAGTTCTGAATCCAGGGCATCGATGCAGACAGCAGCAAAGTGCGAGGAGTGTCGCCCAGAACACCAAGGACGAAGCCGTCGGTGTGCATTTTTGGAGTACAACACAATAACAAATAACGGAAAAATGTGCAAAATTTGTTCATAATTATACCAAGTATACTATATACCGCTCATATTACTGTAAGCAGATTAGAACATATAGTAGGACTTGTTTACGAGGTGTTGCGAAGAGACGCAGACCCCGTCATAGGGTACCCTGAAATTGGCAACAGCGTTAAAGAGTAGGAAGGACAACCCCCCCACACCATGGATTTAGAATATATGCCCAGTTTTTGCATGATTTGCATGCATCAAAATCATGCCAAAGTCCCATCCAGACTGTCCTTCAACTGATTCTCTCCAAGAAAAGTCGGGCTACAACCATATTTGTGCCAGTGATTTCGAAGTGAATGGTGGCTGTTTTCATACAGGGTGTTGAGTGCAAAGCTAGTTGGGACACAATGTTGGAAGCTGACCGTATGTTCTTGCAAGCAGGTAGATCCTCTTGGAAAACAATCCTGGTCAGGCTCAAAATCCAACCAAGCTACAGCAGGTTAAAAAAAATATAGTAAAATATTTAAATATTTGAGACTGCGTTTGTTTTTTACAATCCATTGATGAAGCAACTCTCATTTAAGATTCAGACAATGCCCCTCTACTGTATCATAGCACCTTGGTGCTCTTGCAGTAGTTTCCGGATTTGTCATTTCCACAGTCAGGGCCGAGACAAGACCTGCAGTGGCCAGCTTCTCAAAAAAGGAGGTGGGCAGATCTAAGTGATATGGTGTTACATCAAGCTACAGTGACAATTATAGTATGTGTCAGCCAATGCAAGGAAGAATGAGAATCGACAGTCAGTTGATATGCGAATGGGGAATACACGTGCTTTTGCCGATTACCGTCGGCAAATTCTCGGCCCGTCCATGCCCGTCCCAAGCTTGAGATTTAGTTTGATATCAATTTACCAAATTTTGCAGTGCACAGGTCCAAGAAGAACCTCAAAAGCTGCTCTTGAACTCTGAAGACCTGAAAATAGACAAGGCCAGGGCCACTAAAGCAGTTTGAAACAAGGGGTGCGGAAGCCGTTCGCAGTTGCGCGTTCGATGATAAACATCTATTCTGTGTGGAACACCACCCCCCCCGCAATGCAGCAATGCACCTCAATGAATATGAGGGAACTGCTCCGTTTAGGTGCTCGGTTCTGGCGGCTTTGGCGCGGTCTACCGTGGCACTTACCTGGGACAGGAGGCCTTTTCGATGGGCATTGTGGCCATGACTCATGACAAGCCGCGTTGTCATGGCCAATCAGTGGGGCAGAAATGGGCAGAAGGGCAAAAGATAAGGGAGCGGAACCAGTGATGTGCGGGCATATATGGGCCACTTGAGAGGGAAGCACTCTTGACCATACAATCAAAGCTGCCGGGTCTGTTTACTGAACAGCAATTCTCAAGCTGGCATCAGGTAGCGATCAAGAAGCTTCACCTTATCGATGGGCAGGTGACGTTTGAACTTTAAGTCGTCATGTTGTTTTGCCGAGGGTTACTGACATTCTGCTGGTTGTAGGACGAAGTGAAGTGTCCAAGTTGATGCGGTTCCGGGTCGAGATACTAATGTACTAATGGGCCAGTTGCATGGTTGACTCTTTAGCTGTTACTGTCAACTCCGACAATTGGGGGTTTGGCAGCTTGGATTGCATGAATATGGCTTGCGATTATGATGCATCATGTTTAGTGATGTTATATAGGCTTGTTTAGTGATGTGCAGTATGTACAATGGTGATGTAGCTATGGAACGTGGCCTTGAGAACCTACAGAACATGCCGCAAGTCTTGTCGCACAAATGTCGCAACGCTCCCACTCATGGAACTCCTCGCGTTTCATCCCGCATTGTGCAGCCTTTTGAGTTTGATGAGGTTTCCAGCGAGCAAGTGGCTGAGTTCAAGAAAGAGGTCGAGTCAAACTTACTTGATTTTTTTTTTGTGAAGAGGTTTGGGGCTTGTTCTCATGTCTCCAGCTATATTGTATTGTATAGTTATATTGTGCGTGTTCATATGGAGCTTGGTTCCCCCCTTGAACAAAAGGCAAAGCCGTTGGATGCCCAAGATCACGCTTTAAACTTTGGCAGGTGATGAACTTGCAAGCTCTTCGCCATCCTCGACTTGTCAGCTTCATTGGCTTCAACCTTAGCATTACACCGCCAGGACCCTTCCGTTCAGCCCAAGGGATGCTGAAGCCCAGAAATGCCCAATGTTTGAGACACTGACCAGTTTGTTTAACGACTCGGTTGGCCGCATTGCTTGCATTGCTCGAATCCGGAATCGACTCAATGATTCAAGAACAATTATTTACAATTCTCTACAATTCTTCAATATTATTCAATATGGACTTGCTAGTGGACTTGCTATCAGAATCGGACAATGTAAGTCTGGCAAAGGAGTCGGAGCATGTCGGAGCTCTAAGATTGTTTGCCCAGCACTTTTTCCTGCCCATTCCCAGCCTTTGGCTGTGCTGGCCAAGGCGCTGCACTGGCTGTACCCTCATTAATGATTGCAACTTGGCGTTTCTTCGGCGATTTTGCTGTCCATTTGATGCATGCCACTGTAGCTTCCTGCATTCTTTGTATTTTTCAGTCAGACTAGCTGTCATCCATGTAAATGTTCGAAGTTGATCGCTGTCAGGTTACTGAATTCATGCCCAATGGGTGGGGCTCCTAGCAGCCCTAGCAATCTAGCTATTGAAGTCTATGGTGCTGGCATGTGCTGGCTTTAGGATAGAGCTGCTTCATTTCGAATGAAGAACTGCATTGTTCTGAGGTAGTCATTGCCTTTGATCATTGATCGTTTTATGTTTTGACTCCGAAGGTCAGCATGTCATTTTTATAGACATATCACGGACGCACATGTTGTCGTTATCCGTCCTTCGCCTTCTTGGAGGCTGACCTAGCAGAAGTCCACGGTTTGGATTTGCTCGTGTCCAAGGTCATTATACGAGGCATTGCATCAGCGCAAGCCGGTCATCTCAGAATGGGTTTTGTCTTCCTTTTTTGCGAAGGCTTGCGACGAGGACATGTTGGTTCTTCAGAGAAACTGAACTTGTACCCCAACAAATATCAAAAAATGTTTTTGCCTTTGGTCCAATCAATGTGTCCCATCGCTGTCGCCGTTGTGTGGAAGGTAGCGATGTGTAGGTGGGGCATGACGAACAAAAACTCCATGCCATGCATCAGCCAGCGGGACCTTTGGGCATTTCGACTTGAGAATGGCTGTGACGTTTTAGCTCAAATCATACTGTACCAACATGAAAGGCACGAGTCGCCAGAGTCGCCATCGAACGAAACGCGTGGCCATGGCCGTCGCCTCTCTTACGGGTCACCTCGGTTGACTTAGTTATTAGCCTTTGACCAAAGACTGGTATATAGATTCGTATAGATGATGACATTTGGTTTTGTTCGACATTCACCCTTATCATTTTGTGGCTATATATATATATAGTATGTTTCAATCACGAAGAACATGTGCCACCTTGGCATTTGCCGTATTGGGGTGCTACAGAAAGGATCCCCTTTTTTCAGTGAAGCTGAGAGCTGGGGACTTTGATGTTTCAGACTTGGGTGCTCGTGGATAACGCTGGACAAATCACAAAGAGTTCATCGCTGCTGCCAGATTCGTTCTAATAAAGGTAGGGTTGGGGCATCTGCAAGAATAGTCACATCTGGAGTTTATTACGCAAATGTGCTTTCATGTTGCATTCGTCCGCTTTCACTTGTTTTTTTCGGAGCTGATTTTTATAAATATGCATCCTGACTGTCATTTTGGTCATGTTGCCTCCAAAACCCTGATTTGGGTGCGCAACAAATCAGATTTGATCTGGGTTTTCTGGAAATATTGAATTTCATAATAAAGGATGACCTGCTAATCACATACGAATGTTTATTGGGAATGCATGGCGTTGTGCTTTCAACAATGAGTCGTGCTCAGCATGCACTCATATTTGGGGCTCACCCCAGTCAATAAGTAAGTAAAACAGACCCGCCATGCCATATCTTTCAATGAATAGGGACCAAGCAATACAAAGGCTGCAGGGTGTCAGTGCAATTTGCCACCTCAAGTGAAGCAACAAGCAAAGGTCTTTCTTCATCAACCTTTACATCATCTCCGTCCTCATGGCAAGCAGTGCTTGGACCCTCACCGCCTTTGCCTCCAGCAACTTTGCCGAGGCATCATTTATGCAAAGGATCAGCTTGCTTTCTCGAGACACGCGCCACCAGGACCAACACCGCCTCCTCAGCGGCAGCTGGTGATGAACTGATTGGGTTTGGTATCGCAGCTTTGTCCTCCTTCTTCAATGGATCCTTCCCGGTCTGTCAGCGGATTCCCAGAGGTCCTGCCCTGGACCCTGTGGTGTTCAACGGCCTGGTTTGTGTGGGGGTCTTCTTGTCTTCATTGTTCGTGCCATTGATCTTCAACCTGAATTTCGTCTTCACTCTCCCAGGCGCATTGGGTGGTGTTCTTTTCGTCTTTGCTGCGCTCTTCAGCTTTGTGGCGATCCCCAGGGCTGGCCTTGCCACTGCACAGGCCGTGTGGTCCTGCTCTGCCATTTTAGTCTCCTTTGCTTGGGGTGCCATTGGCCCAGCAGAGGTGGCAGCTCCAGTGGGCAATATCCCAGCAACCCTTTTAGCAGTGGCATTGCTTGTGGCAGGCCATTCGAACCTCTTTATATGTTTTTGCTGCGTTACTTCCGCTTTGTTGTTATCCACGTGCAACATGTCAGCAGTAGGTGTGTGGTTTGCTTCCTTATAACTTTAGCTTCCTTGCACGAGTTTTTGAGAGATGATAAGTATATATATATATGTAATTATACGATAATATGTAATGGACGCCCTGCTGAGATGCCATGGTTTGTTGGTCAAGTGAGATCATCAATCGGGCAATCCTTAAATGCATCTGACGGCACTGTCTTTGTCTGTGTATTTCATATATCATTTATGTCAGATGCACTTCTTGGAGGTGCATTGGTCATTGTGAACTGTGATAGCATTGCCGGGCGATTGAGTGGTAACCCACAGTCACAGCAGTCTGAGTCCCAAGAGGCAGCTGGCAGTGCTGCTTGGCAGGGCCAAGTTCCCACGGCACGGTGTTGGCCATGACCAACGTGAAAATTCCCAAACAAGTGGGAGATCAAGAGGAATACATTCTGCAAGAGTGATACAGTAGTAACTGGTGTGTATGTGGATTGACGCAACGGGATGTTCTGGCATAGGTTGCTAACATGCCATTCTATAGCCCCATCTAGGTTCAAGAGAATCTGCGAAGCTTTGTCTGATATGCGTCAACCTCAAGAATGACATTGATGAATATAGCATTTCAAATGGGCACCCCGAACACCCACACTCACACATTGTCCAGTGAGGAGACACTCGCATCCCGCAACCCAGGACAAGGCAGCCGGTATCTCTTCTGCCTTGGCGGTGGGGCTCTTCGGCGGATCTGTTTTGGCAGCTTGGTAACAGAATGGCGAGAAGCTCATCTCCTTTTGTGAATGTTGCTGGATGTTATTGTCAGTCGGCCAACAAATTGACAAGTGTGGAAGAAGAATTCAAAACACAGCATCAGAACACCTCATCATTCACACAGGGTATACTGGAGGTGGAGTAGTCGGAGCCTGAGGAAAAAATACGCCTAGTAATGGCCTGACGTATGTTCTCATGAGCAACATGAGAAAATATGTGTATATATATATATATCATCATAGGTATATATAATCAACCAGTCACTTGTCCAACAAAAAACAGCTTTCTCAGTGCTCTGGCGATCAGTAGATGCAGTATCCCTCACTTGCTAAATGAGTGGATCTAAGGTCCCCTTCAAGTACATCCCGCCTGATGTGGCTGGTTTGGCTGCGATTCCCTCCTTTGGCATTGGAGCCCTGGTGGCCGGAGTGATCGTGACCTTCGGGCTGCTCGGCTTAAGTGGGCTGGCGAATCCTCCAAGATGTGCGCATGTTCCATGCTACCCAGCGAATTACTGCCACTGGTTTGCTTGCATGCTGCATGCCTTTCGTGTCAAAATGGTAGAATGTAACGAAGCTCGTGTCAAAATGGTAGGCCCTGGTAGGAGGGCCATTTATTTTATGTGTTTTTTTTTGAATGATGGTGTTCTTGTTTTTTTGCTTCTGGCTTTTGTGGCTTTTGTCTTTCGTGGCTTTCATGGCTTCTGGATTCTGTGTAGATTAAAGCCATCGCAAAATCGATGAAACACGTGGAAGACCGATAGAAAGCCATGGAAATCTGCATCCAAAATCAATGAACACCATGGAAAATGATAGAACACATGGAAAATGGATGGCAATCATTGAAAACTGAAGGATTTCAGTAAAAGTAAAACCTGCCACGAACTCTGCACATGGAAGCAAAACCAATCCAACCCCTTGCACCTGCCACAAAACCAACAAAAACAAAACACATCAACAAAATACAACATAAATCCGGTCCCTCAGGTAAAACATGTATAACTAACCACCTCCCTGATTTGTTTTGATGAAAGTTGACAATGGCGATGCAGACAAATTGGTTCGATTCAAACCCTTTTCTTCAGATATCAATGTTGCAAAGCATGACTTTGTTACCGGCCACCGGAGGGGGATGTGATGCCCTGAGGTACGTGAAAGGGATCTTGAAGTCAAGCTCCTTCCCTGCTTTGAGAGGAGACCAGGTTGCAGCAGGCTTAGCTAGTGGTTTACTTTGGAATGCAGGTCACCAGGCAGCACGATTTTTCTGTGGCTATTTGAATTTGTGTTTTTAATCGTGTTTAAAGGCACCCGTTTCTGGTAAACTCTTTGTGTGATTTTTAAAATTGTTTGGTTGGGTGGGGGGGTCAAACAAGTGACCGGTTACAGTACATGGTTGTTCCCACGACCTCATCGTGCTGCAGATGCATCCAGGCAATGTGGCATCGGTCATCGCCCAAAGCCCTCCTTTCTTGCTCCCCTATGGCGTTGCCTATCCCATCCTCCAGTGTGCCCTGGTCTTCGGTGGCTTGTGGGGGATCTACGTCTTCAAAGAGATTGTGGGAAATGCAGTTGGAGTCTTCTGGGCAGGACCAGCTTAAGGTTTTAGACCGGAACATTTCCTGCAATCTCACCTTCGTCATTGAATTTGAGTTCGGTGAAGGTGAGGTCTCGATTGCTACCCACTTGAACTCTATAATCTATGTTTGTCAGGCCTGATATGAAGAGGACAGCTTTCCACTTGGCTAGATTGAACAATGACAAGCATTGCAATGTTTGCAAGGTATGTGCGACGCATTTTCTTCCCATCCACGGGGTGGGGACCTTTAAATTGCTTACATTGTCATTCTAAGCCCCCCCACGCATGGAGGATATATTATACAAACATTTGACATGTACAAACCATGGAGTCCGGTGTATCGATATAGGATCTGGAGACGTGCATACCATATCAGGACCATATCACAATAATTACACCTGCAGCAACAACATGGGCGCGTAGCGGACTTGGGATGTGCGTTGGATGATCCTAGCTCCACCAATTCTCTAAGCACACTGGCCCTGTCCAGTCATCTTGAATCTCCTCAGATGATGCTGAAAGAGCATTTTCCATAGCTACAGCCAGTGTAAGCCAAGCATGTTCCTCCAGCACCCCATGGCGCACGATGATATCAATAATGCCAGCGGCGCCAGGAGCCACTACCCTGGCTGCTGGAGTGATCCTTTTGGGCCTGTTTGGTCCTGGGGCGGGATGATCAACACCTGCTAAGCTGCTGTAGCTGTGCACACGCACCAGCAATGTCATGCAGGTCACTGCAGGTCCTGGCACCTTGCACTGTCTTGGCTTGAGAATGCAGTGAAGGGATGGCTTTATTGAGCTAAAAGATGCCTCGGGTGCGGAAACCAAAACAATCACAGACCTCGTGACGCAGGTCTCGACGATGTGACAATGGTTTTCGAACAAAAGGCACCCAAACTGAGCTCAATTCAATGGTTTGTTTCATGTTGTGTCTTTGCCTTTAGGACTCTCAGAAGAGTGTCCGGTATGCTTGGAGTGGCTCATGTTTGAGAGTCTTTTAGCGGATGGCGATCTGAAAAAGTGAAACGCCTGGTGTTCATTGACCAGTCGTGGCGGCAAGAATTGCAACAACGCTGACGCTGCCCTAAACTCTAAACACCTGGCAGAAAAGTCTTTCCGGACAGCTGAGGCTGAAAATGGAACACAACCAGCGCAACAAAATTGCCACACAGGTGGGATTTGTTTAGTCGATTGACAGCACCTGATCGGCGAAGAAAGGACACCTCTGGTGCCTGTGCGGTTTTCCACCTGGAGCACTCAAAAACAAGAGAATTCACAAATTGATAAATCTTAATGTTGGACCAAGATGCAGACTCTAAAGCTGGCCGTCATTGGACTGGCATGTTTGAATGACATGACCGTCCTGGCAACCGTCCTGGCAGGTTTCTGAAGGGGTGACTTGGCAAAAAGAGATGTTCACAGATTCTAAGCCCATGGACGGGGAAAGGAACGGATGTTAGTAACAAGGTTCGCTACTAGGAGCCTACTACTAGGAGCAAGAAGCTACTAGGAGCTCCTGGCCGTACTACTAGGAGCAAGAAGCTACTAGGAGCAAAAGTTGTGAAACGGCACTGTGTCAAATTGTCAAATTCCAACTCCCACAGTTCCACTGAACCGACTGCAGTTGCAGGTGAGCTTCTTGCATGGCAGGGCGCCACCCTTTGTTCACCGGGACTTGAAAAGCATGAACGTCAGTGCCCAAACGTTTTAAGGGAGCAATTCAATAGTCTGTTGATGTCTATCAAATGAGATTGGAAGAGCCGTCCTATACTTCCTATGCTGCAAAAATTACAGTACTGACTTTCTGATTTGCAATGCATTTGCCGTGTTTAACTTTGCATGGGGTTGTCCTCTTTGCATTCTTCCAAGGTTGTGATGGATTTCGATCTGAACGCAAAGTTGTGCGACTTCGGCCTTACCCAGGCCATTTAGCTCGGCTGCCATTCTTTAGGTCACTTCAGCCAATGAACAGTCTATCAAAGGTGCTTTGTGCTTGCTTTCAAACGCCAAGCTTCGAAACTCAAAGTTAAAGAAACTTTGTGTCGTTCGTGACCTCCCTTTTCACAGTCAATGGAGAAGACCCACATCAGCCAAGAGCTCAAATACTTCGCGTCATGCAACCTGCGGGTAAATGAACACCTCTTTGCTATACATTACATCCAAGCCGGCGAGAGCTAATAGCCCGCCAAGTTCTGAACTTCACAGTTGTCCAACCTACTCGGTTTGGTTTCAGACGTGCTGGTGGAAAATGAGGTCGTAGAGACAATGAGGGAGGATCTCCACGGCAAATGCCTTGGAAATGAGGTAAGAATTCATCGGCCACCTTCAGCTGGTAGCCTCTAGCAAAAAAGAAGGTTTCTTTTGGTTTCAAGTTTCAACCGGTAACAACCGGCATACTTTAATGATCTGTAATGGTTGATAATGTTTTCGTGTGTCAATGACCGGAAAATGATTGCCCGTGGCTTTTGATGAGGTATATGGCTCCTGAACTCTTCGATTCGCGAGGAAAGATCACTGAAAAGGTGCAGAAACAACATCCTACAGTTGTGATTCTTTGTTTGTCGAGAAGTAATGAACTTGATGTGCTCAGTTTGTGCTGAAAGTTGAAGGTGGATGTATGGGCATTGGGCTGTTTGGTGGTGGAAGTAATTTCCAGCAGGTTGCCTCATGAGGCCAGCTGTCCCACTTGTTGGGGCACGCTTGATGTTTCGTGAGGCTTCAGCCAATCAAAAGCAAATCAACCACTTGTTTGGCATTTGTATATAAACCCTCTCCACCCGTTTCCAGTGTTTCACAGGAGTGCACATCAATCCAGCAAGTCATGACGAGACTTATTTGCAGTGTTTGATGGCTGGAGAAAGCGAGCATATAATTGAACTCGCTCCTCCTGCCCACCACTGAGGAAGACCCTTGTGGAGAAGCAACTGCCCTTCAATGACTGGTCCGAGCACAAAGAATCGAATCCTGAATGCCCTTACCATAAGTAGAATCAAACTACAACTGTGAGTGACATCCAGAGAGATCGTATTTTTCAGCAGTGGGGCAGCTTTGGTTTGACGCATTGTTTAGACTTGTTTAGCTAGGCTTCATGGTTCTCAATTGTAGTTGATTACCTTTTACTAAATCATGAAAATAGGAAATCCTCAAAAGATGCATAAACAAAGTTCACAATAAATCGAGGAATCCAACCTTTTTAAAGCCTGAGCCCTTTTGCGTCCAACAAGAGTGTAACAGCGGATTACTTGATGGAAATATATAATTGCTTACTAACCCGTTTTTACAGCCTAGGATTCTCTCAACAGATTCGGAAGGCACAAGCCAGCCCTCGCATCTCGAAGCTAACACAAACACACAATTGCCAAATTTTAAGGCGCGGAGTCAGTCTTGGCCTCGCATTCTTCTTATTGTGGTTCTTGGATGCCAAGCAAAGGCTTCTACTGGATGTGTAACGACTTTGTCCAAGGCTCCAGTGTGCAGCGAGTTGCTGAACTTTGCTTCATGTTTCCCCCAGAGAGCCGCACAAGTGCCGCACATCTCTTGGAGGCACGACATTTCCCTCTATATGTCAATGTAATTTATTGTATTTTGTATTATATCAATTTTGAAATTCGAGGCATTACAACGTCTCCGATAACGATGAAAAATACACATAAATATCCATAAATAGTATTAATATTTATACATATATATATAACTTTTTTTAGAAATGTTGTTTTTGGACGATTATAAAGAGTCTTTCAAAAGAAAAAAAACATATATATATATATATATTGGATATGGATCTAAATATATATTATTTAGATTTATATAGTATATTTATAGATTCTATGGTTTATCCGGTAAGAAGCCTTAAATAGTGTGTGTAAGTTATATAAGCAGAAAGTCTAGAGATCTAGAGGTATTGGGGTCTAGAGAGGTGATGGTGATGATGAAGGTGGAGATGATGGTGGCGGTGGTGGTTAATGCAAATTTTAGTGTTAGGATGAATATGTTTATATGAAAGGGGGAGGGAGAGCAAGAGTGTGAATGCGTACGCAAATGGGTGTGGGCGTTGGGTGTTTTAGAAAGCGTGTGAGTGGGAGTGAACGAGAATGGGGCCATGGAAAACGATATTTACGTTTTTATTATGCAGAAGGAATTTTGATTATTATACATATATTTTTATATTTAAAAAATATATTGTATTATAAACATTATTTATAGACTTTATAAAAATGGGGAAAATGATATATATATATTATAATTATTAATTGAAATGTATGAGGCTATGTAATAAATATATAAATTGATTCGACTATTGATATATTTATAGTAAAATATCTTTTTTTGGATTGCGATATATGAATATACATATTGTGTTATAATGATAATAGAATTATTAGAAATATTCGTTGGATATTTATAGATATTACGAATTAAGTAATCGGTTGGAATCACGTATTTTTGCGATATAAATATTATACAATTAAAAATATTATATAGATTGATATATTTTTGGCCTATGTTGAAATAGAAAAATATTTGAATTTAAAATATTACATATGCATGTTTATATATATAATATAATTTAAAAAAATAATGTATATCTATATTGAATAAATATAATCGAATGTATGATTGCAAATATATGTTTTATTTATATATATCTTGTTTATATTATTGATAATTATTATTAAATTTCTAGATATTCTATTTTATAATTGATATTTAATTAATATAAATTATTTAAAATAGATAGATGTATTTGTAAAAAATAAAAGCGAACATTATATTCTTTGGATAGGATAATATTAGACTTAAATGTCAAAATTTTTAAGTTTATGTTCGATATGATTCATGTTGTGAAGAAGCCGCATATAAAGACGAAGAAGAAAGAAGACAACAGAGGCAAGGAAGAGGAAGAAGAGGCAGCAGAAGATAGAGGACAACCTATTAATCTAATAGAACTGGAGACTCGACTCCCACATACAGAGATACCAATATTAGATGATGCAGATATGGTTGAGGCAGATGACAGAACGGAAAAAGCCACAAGAACAGAAATAACAGAAGCCACCACACCCACGACGAATCTGGAGCAAATCAACCACCACATCCACCAAGCACTTGTACGAAATAACAAGAACACCGCAGAAGGTTTCGAAAGACACAATCGCAGAAGAAAGATAACACCCCATCCACTCTAAAAGACAAGTAGAAGAAGAAATGAGAAGCATATTGAAGAAGATGCAGGAATTGAACATTCGGATGAAGGCTGAATTCGTAGCTCAGGCAGCGCAGCAACAGAACAAATTGTTGAATAATACGAAGGACTACAATTGCTTTACTTCGAGTGATCCCCACCATGACATTTCAATCATTTGACTTGATGCCATAGTGAGGAGCATGTTGCCATGTTCGTGAGTATTGTAGTTCTCGATTTTGCTTGTGGGTCCTCGGGTTGTGTGCTGCGGTTGTGTGTTGTGGTTGTGGTTGTGTGCTGTGGTTGTGGTTGTGTTTGTGATTGTGTGTTTGTGGCTGTGTGTTTGTGATTGTGTGTTTGTGGATGTGTTTGCGGTTGTGCTTGCGGCTGTACGTTTGTGGTTGTGTCTTTGTGGTCGTGTTGTTGTGGTTGCGTGTTTGTGGTTGTGTGTTTGTGGTTGTGTTTGTCGTTGTGTGTTTGTCGTTGTGTGTTTGTGGATGTGTTTGTGGTTGTGTTTGTAGTTGTGTTTGTGGTTGTGTTTGTGGTTGTGTTGTGTGTTTATTGTTGTGTCTTTGTGGTTGTGTGTTTGTTGTTATGTTTGTGGTTCTGTGTGTGTGGTTGTGTTTGTGGTTGTGTGCTGTGGTTGTGTTTGTGATTGTGTTTGTGGTTGTGTGTTGTGGTTGTGATTGTGTTTGTGATTGTGTATTTGTGATTGTGTGTTTCTGGTTGTGTTTGTGGTTGTGTGTTTGTGGTTGTGTGTTTGTGGTTGTGTGTGTGGTTGTGTCTTTGTGGTTGTGTGTTTGTGGTTGTGTTTTTGTGGTTGTGTTTGTGGTTGTGTGTCTATTGTTGTGTGATTGTGGGTGTGCGCTTGTTGTTGTGTTTGTGGTTGTGTTTGTGGTTGTGTTTGTGGTTGTGTCTTTGTGGTTTTGTTGTTGTGGTTGTGTGTTTGTGGTTGAGTGTTTGTGGTTGTGTGTTTGTGTTTGTGTGTCGATTGTTGTGTCTTTGTGGGCGTGTGTTTGTTGTTATGTTTGTGGTTGTGGTTGCGGTTGTGGTTGTGTGTTTGTGGTTGTGTTTGTGGTTATGAATTTGGGGTTATGAATTTGTATTTTTGTGGTTGGGAAGTTATGGTTACGTAATTGAAATGTATTATTTACCATTTAATTTACTATTCTATTTGGTAATTTATGTAACATATTATTTGATATTTTGTTTCGTATATTTTCTATCATTTTTTTTGGTAATATATTTAGCAATTTATTCCACACATTATTTGATATATTATTTGGGATATTTTCTTGCAATATGTTTTTTGAGCCGCGCTAAGAACTTCTTCGTTTATGTTTGATAGTGGGTTTGTTATATGAATGCTTCGCGTAAGCAAAATTCTGATGTGCGCAAGGTTGCGTAAGCGTTTTTTGTGAGATGAAATTTGCGTAAGCCGCGTAAGAAAGTCGAAATTTAACATACTTGTCACATGTATTCTTGAAATGTTTGGAAATTATAGGAGATCTTTGTTGATGAAGGCTTGCATTGGATCTTTTTCTTGGCAATTGGTATGATCGAAGGTGATTGGCTCCACAGAAAGAAGGGTTCTTGGGGTTTTTGTAGTGATTTATATATAGGATATAGGCATTAAAACAGAGATTTTATGGGTCGACACATGCAAACATTACTCCTATAGCCATACAAACAACTCCCGTAGCCATAAAATCTACCAGCAGTTGTCAGACACACTATGTTACCATGCGGTTATCGGTTTTGGTGTCGGTAATACGCGTAAGCTTCGCGTAAGCTGCGCGTAAGCCCCCCTCTCTTTTGTAGACGGTGGCCCACGATGCCTCCTAAAGAGCAGGCTTTTTCTGACTCGCAATGGCGCCAAAGGCAACGCATTGTCCAGACCATCTACGAAATCCTGGCTTCTCACTGCCCTACACCCGCGGACGTAACAAACCTGTTGTGTGTTGTGCTTTGCTTGGAAAACAGATGGTGCGTAAGCTGGCGTTGTGGCCGGGTGCAAGATTGTGTTCGCGTAAGTGTTGCGTAAGCCCCTTTGTGTGCAAAGTGTGCGCGTAAGCTGCCATTGTGGTGGCGTAAGCCAGGCGTAAACTGCTGCGTAAGGAAAGTCTTACGACATAGGCAGATGCCATACGTTTTGAGCACAATTCATTTGGAAAATTATTTGGTTGAGGTCGAGGGGTGTACATTGCGATCGGGTCTTTGCGATGGAGGTCTAGCGGTGCACATTGCGATTGGATGCTTGTGGTTGAGGTCTAGGGGTATACATTATAATCGGATCTTTGTGGTTGAGGTCTAGCGGTGCACCTTGCGATCGGATCCTTGGTTTAGGGGTGCACCTTGCGAGGGGATCCTTGCGATTGAGGTCTAGGGATGCATATTGCGATCCGGAATTGGGCAGATAAGATCGGCGATGCAGATGGGCGAAGAAGGAAGGAAGGAGGAGGAGGAGAAAGAACAATTATGCTAAAATTTAACAACCCTCACCTGGCAGGTGGGGAAAAAAAATCCTAAAATTCCCAGACATCAACCAACGACACGAAGATGAGATTGAAGATCTCAGACGCATATCAAATTACACTCATGAATTGGTCCTTGACAGAGAAAACAAAGAGAACGCCACAACAATGATCGTCAAGGCTTGGCCCAGAGAAGCAAGCTATTACGATAGAACCAGGATTACAGATTGGCTGGTGGAAAAAGCGGGCGTGCAGAATGGGAAATAAGAGCATGGCTACTACACACAAAGTCGCAAATTTCAATCGCTTACACAAGCTTCTCTGGAAAATTCCCATTGTACTATTGGAATGAGAAAGGCGACTACGTGCAACACCACAAAGGAGGACGACATCGGTTGATCATCACCAATTACATCAATAAAATCGATCTCATTCTCGACCTCACGTTGACCACAATATTGCACATCCTTACAACCCATGACATTTCACCACACAAAGGCCAAGACACACTGTCACATCGACCAACAGACATGCAAATTTACAACTTAAGAGCCAAACAAGTGGTGGCAAAGACAACCTATGATAGAGATCAAGGGACCGCAGCTATTGAATTGGAAAAAGGGCTCATGGACATCGTGAAGGAGAACTGGCATGAAGGATGGAAGGAAATTCACAAAGATCACCTTCGTTTTGCCAACTACATTCGATATCCATATGCCATTTCATTCGCAGAAGCACGTCTGGAAGACGAACGGCAGGAGATACGAAGCTCAGAGTGACAAGGACATAGACATCAGCAGAGGCAACAGACGAGACATCAGCAGAGGCAACAACTTTGGCAACAACATTGACGGAAAGAAACATTGGCAACAATCCTTCCAACAGGAAACAAATCATGGCAAAAAACAGGGACAAACCGAGCAAACATGGAACACCACAACATACCACACCAAGCCTTCCAGATGGCACCCCAGGACA